GACAGGTGCATGAACATGGGGGGAGGGGGAGGTGATAAGCTACCACACTGGGTGACAGGTGATGGGTGACACCAACCCTAGTGACCCCATTGCCTTGGCAGTCCCTCCCTCAGCACCGCCGCTGCCACTGCCGTGGACCCTCGGGTCATTTTGGTGTCACCCCCTCTGACAGTGTCAGGCGGTGCAGTCCACATTACCCACACCCCTCTAGTGACATCACTGCTTGTTAAGAAAGCGAATTGTTATTGTTAGGTGCCGTCAAATTGATTTCAACTCATAGCAACTCCATGTAACAGAGTAGAACTGCCCTATAGAGTTATCTAGGCTGTAATCTTTATGGAAGAAGCCCTGGTGGTACAGTGGCTAAGACCATGGCTGATAACCAACAGGTTGGTGGTTGGAACCCACCAGCCACTCTGCAGGGGAAAGATGTGGCAGTCTGCTTCTGTAAAGATTACAGCCTTGGAAACCATATGGGGCAGTTCTACTCTGTCCTGTATGGGTCAATATAAGTCAGAATCCACTCAGTGGCAATGAGTTTCATTTCTTGGAATCTTTAAGGAAGCAGATCACCAAGTCTTTCTCCCACGGAGCTGCTGGATGGGTTTGAACTGACAAACTTTTGGTTAGCAGCCCAGCGCTTAACTATTATACCACCAGTGAAAACAAAAGGAAAATGTTTTCAAACACTGTGGAAGTAAACATTTACATATATAACTGAAAATGAGAGGTACCCACCAAACCCTGGTCTTTGATAGCCTAATGATGTATGTTATTTGTTTATTGAAGTAGGCTCCTTAACAGTCACTTCCTTATTATTCTAGAATCAAAGAATTTTGAAGCTAGAAGCAACCTTAAGTAGTTGCTCTCCATTATTTAAAGATGGGAACCCTGGTGGCACAGTGGTTGAGAGCTGGGCTGCTAACCAAAAGGTCAGCAGTTCAAATTCACCAGCCGCTCCTTGGAAACCCTAGGGGGCAGTTCTACTCTGTCCTATAGGGTCACTATGAGTTGGAATCAACTAGAAGGCAGGGATTTACAGGTTATTTTAAAGATGAGGAAACAGCTGTCAGGAGAGGTTAAGTGATTTTCTGACTCTAATCAACATTCATGTCATTATATTGACCCAGAAAGTTTATTATTTAAATTATTCCCTGACTCAGATACCATCACTACCACCATTTGCTGTCAAGATGACTCCAACTTATGGCGGCCTCATGAGTGTCAGAGTACAATTGTGCTCTATGGGGTTTCAGTGGCTGATTTTTCAGAAACAGATCACCAGGCCTTTCTTTCCAGGTACCTCTGGGTGGACTAAACCCTCCAACCATTCAGTTGGCAGTTGAGCACGTTAATCATTTGTACCACCCAGGGACTCCTGATTCAGATAGGCCTCCCCTTAATTAGTTTGAATTAATGAGCCTTTCTCTAAGAACATCCCTCTTTTAATGAGACATGGCTAGAAACAAAGCACACAACATACCACACCAGTGTTTGGAAGCAAAGTTCCTGTTCAGATCTGTTCCGATGCATCTATTGTCCTCATGAAAAGATCGGTTCTTTCTCCACATTCGATTCTGAATAAACAAGACGATCATGTGAAATAGATGCTTTTTAAAAGACCAGGCAGCCTGGTTGGGTTTCTCTCCTTCAACCCTATCTCTTCCCTCACTTCATTCTGTCACTTTCTTCACAGTGTTCCTTTCCCACAGACCCTATTTCTATCCAGGTCTCAATTGCACTTAAACTCTCTGTGTTCCAAGAAGCCCCAGTGGTACAGTGGTTAAGCTCTTGGCTGCTAACTGAAAGGTTAACAGTTCGATCCCACCAGCTGCTCAGTGGGAGAAAGATGTGACAGTCTGCTTCTGTAAGGATTACAGCCTTGGAAACTCTACAGGAAAGTTCTACTCTGTCCTATAGGGTTGCTGTCAGTCGGAATTGACTTGACAGCAATAGGTTTGGGTTTTTGTGTGTGTGTGTTTCAGAAAAGGGCTGTCTTAGACGGCCTTAATGCTCCCCTCAGCTTGCCTAAACATTAGGTAGGCTTCTTCTGGACTCTAGGCCCCTGACCTCTCTCTCATCCTGGCCTTACAGAATCCAGATACAACATGTTCCATCTGCCCTTAACAGTAAACTCAGGAGATAACTCCATGTAATCAACACAGCCCATTGCCTAACCTTCCCCTAATGTCCTTCAGTACTTTTCCACTAGCTCACTTCAGTCTGAAAACCGTGCTGACCTCTGCTTCAAAGAGTTGGAGCTCAGACTTAGGTCTGGTCTCACTCCCCTATTGGATAGCCCTCAATGAAATCTATTGTTACCTGTTTAACATTGTCTGGTAAAATTTTCTGTGATGGCTTGAACCAAATAAAACTAATTTAGCTCAATTTTGACCTATAAAGGTAATAATTTGATTTGGTTCAACTAAGCTGCTTGTTATGAATTTAATTGTGCCTCCCCAAAATATGTCTTGTAAATCCTAACCCCTGTGCCTGTTGTGATAATACCCAATGAGTTTTCTTTGTTACGTTAATATGGCAATATTAGTGTAACCTGTGTTTTGAGTCAATCTCTTTGGAGATATAAAAGGAGCAGATTAGAAGCAAGAGGCAAGCAAGCAGAGATGGGAGAAGATGCCACATCACATGAAGATGGTCCAGGGGCCAAGGAATAGAAGGTGAAGAGACAAGGACCTTCCCCCAGAGCCAACAAATAGAGACAGTCTTCCCTAGAGCCAGTTCCCTGATTTCAGACTTCCAGCTTCCTGAACTGTGAGAAAATAAATTCCTGTTTCTTAAATCCATCCACTTGTGGTATATCTGCTATTGCAGCAGTAGATAACTCAGACACTGCTCATTGGCCTCATTTAGACTTCTTCCCTTTAAATTAATTTTGTGCACAGTATCACTTTGAGCTCCTTCTACAAAAAGTAAAGTGATTTTAATTATATCTCAACTCAAATTAAAACTATTAGTCCTGATTTTCAATGCTCGCTTTGATGAACTCCACACACTCATTTAAAAGCTACAGGAGGTGGAAATGTGAAGACACCTCCAGCCAGACTGCTTCTTTAATGGTAGTGATTGACTGGTTTTAAACATCAGACACATTCCCCATTTGGGTTCTAGAGTAAACTGGGAAGTTTGATAATGTAAACGGTTGCTGCACAAACTTTAAGTTGTGGGGTGGGGTTATGAGGCAACCCCCACATCACATGCAGTTTGGAAGGTTTTTCAAAACATGTATATATATACATATGCTTAGTTATGTTTTTATGTATCCTTCATTAAATTATAAAGGACTGTACTTTATATTCAGTGAGTAATTTTTCATGAATTGTAATGTGGATGGACTAGAAGTAATAATGGTTTTCAGTATATATGAACTTGACCATGATACTTACACTTGTGCTCATGATTGAGTTAGAGGATGGAGATTTACATTCACATACTAGTTAGAACACAATTTCATTAAAATGCAAATTAAGTTAGAATGCTGTTCTAACTCTTGCAGTTCATGATTTTGCAAATCAAAATACTATGCACATTATTCTTAGTAAGAGTTAATGGATCCCAGCATTGTGCATCAATGGCAGCTAACATCACAAAAAGAGACAACCAGACATTATGTACATTCTGATAGGAGAACACGATATCAATATGAAGCAGTCGCGTCAAAAATAAAATAAAATATAACTGAATCTGATTAAGCCTCTAGAATCCAAATGTCAATTTTCAGGAAATACAGAGGACAGAGGAATACATTAAATGACAACATGGCAATGCAATCAGCAAAACCCAGCCTTGCAAAACTCTTTTCTTCAACAAATAAATTGCAAGGGAGAAAAAAGAGAGCAAGAGATGGAGGGAGAGATTATACACGAAAACAGACCTAAAAGACACATTACATTAACTAATCATGCATAACATATGAAGATTAGATGAATCCTGTATCAAAGAAATAAATGATTTAAAAAGTTGTGAGACATTTGGAAATTTGAATACTGACTAGATACTTGATGGTATTAAGTAATAATTGTTAAATTTTAGGTACAGTACAATTATATTGTGGTCTTTGTTTGTTTGTTTAAGAGCCCTTTTCTTTTAAGGAGCCCTGGTTAAGTAAGAGCTTGGCTGCTAACCAAAAGGTTGGCAGTTTGAATCCACCAGCCGCTCCTTGAAAACCCTATGGGGCAGTTCTTTTCTGTCCTATAGGGTCCCCACGAGTCAGAATCAACTTGACGGCAATGGGTTTGGTTTGGGTTTCTTTTAGAGATGTATACTGAAATAGTCATTGATGAAATGATATAATATGGGGGATCTGCTTCACAATAATAGTCTAGGGCAGAAGTGGAGGGGGATGGAGATGACAGACTGGCGATGAGGTGATCATTGTTGAAGCTGCATGACGATCACATAGTTTATAATTGCTCCCACTTTTCTAGATATTTGACATTTTCCATAATAAAAATTAAAATTTATATTTTCATAATGCAACCATTGTGCCAAGGACCCAGGATTCTATGAATAATTTGGCCTGGATATTTTGTGTCCCCAAAGGGGGTGTGTTTTCTCCTCTTTGTCTCCACCTACCTCTTTCCAGCTGTACTCATAACCACCCACGTTAACCACCTACCTCTTTCCAG